AAAAAAAAAAAAAAAACAACCAAACAAACAACATTTTTTATTTGACATAAATATGCTAGGAGGCAATAACTTTTAAAATTCCATGAGCCATTGTTTCCTTCTATGTTAACTTCTGGTTCCTATAAATCTTGAATAAAGATTAATTTCACATACATCATGTAACCTAAGCAAAAGCCAGCCAGTTCCGGGATGTTAAACCACAATTACTGTGTGGGACCCAGCTTCCCTTGAGCAGCTCATTACCATTGACCACAGAGCTGGCTCCAAGCTTGCTTTAGCAGTTACGAATCACTAATGATTTTTTCATAGCCTAAGAGACCTTCTTCACTTTACATAGGAAGATGTCAATCTATTCTATAGGCCATAATGAATAATCACTGTCATTATCAAACCACTAATGAGTAAATAGTAGGGAATTTGTTTACTCAAGGCCTGTGTGATCATACCTTTAGGTTGACCTGGAAATTTTGAGCTAGTCGTTAGCTAGCAACATGTGTATTACTTAATGTGCATATGCTTTAAAGCTCCCAGGTGGGACGTTTACCCATATTTCTGTCTTCCCATTGTTCTTTCTGCATCTCTCGGCCAACGAATAGAGCTCCACGGTAGTTTCAGATATTAGATCCATATTTTTGCCCTTCACGATGATCTGCATCACTCTTCCTTTATTGATGTGGGCATCAAAGGTGCTGTCCCAGGGTGGGTACATGGTTGGCTTTTTCTGGATATACATCTGCCCATTCTCTAGGAACAGAAAGAGGTGTTTCCATTACTTCAGCAAGCTCTGGAAAATAATTTGTCTTAAGTGGCACCTATTCCTTTGACTCTCTGGGATGTATAATGATGTTAAGAAGACAAAAACAACAAACAATCAGAGACAATTCAGGAAAGATTAAGACAGTTCTAAGGTCTAGATGTAAGGTAATGCATTGAATCTTAAAAGTCCAGTGTAGGTCATTTAGGCAATGCCAATCTGATAATGTTTTGGACTGGAAATGCCCCTCTACTGAAATTAGTTGCTTCACTTTGGTTGTGAACGTCTGGGGAAATAAACATCTTTTTAAAAACTTTAATGTCAGGGCTGGCAGGTGGCATGGTGGTTAAGGGCACTGGACTCCCACATAGCCAACTGCAGTTCAAGTCCTGGACCTGGTGGCTTAAACTCATGCCGGGCATGTGTGCGTGCATGCCCAAGATCCTGAGAGGAGAAGGGATTGTGACATGGCCATCCCCTTAGGGGGTGATTTCTCGCTTTTTGTCTCTTTCTCTCTGTCTTCCTGGAAAGCACACACACTCTATAGCCAAAAACTCTCCAAAGGAAAAAAAAAAAAAAAAAACAACCAAACAAACAACATTTTTTATTTGACATAAATATGCTAGGAGGCAATAACTTTTAAAATTCCATGAGCCATTGTTTCCTTCTATAATTCTTTTTTCTTTTTTTTGGAGAGGTTTTTGCTATAGGGTGCATGTGCTAGACAGAAAGACAGAGAGAGACAGAGAGACAGAAAGTGAGAAATCACACCCCCCCCCAGGGGGGATGGCCATGCTGCAATCCCTTCTCCTCCATTCTCCTCTTGGGATCTTGGGCACGCATGCACACGCACCTGTTGTGAGTTTAAGCCACCGGATCTGGGACTTGAACCATGGTCGACTACATAAGAGTCCAGTGACATAGCCATTATGTTAACTTCTGGTTCCTATAAATCTTGAATAAAGATTAATTTCACATACATCATGTAACCTAAGCAAAAGCTGACAAGTAATCCAGAAAAGTGGTGTTCTTAACCCAAAGAGCTGGCACAACCCACTGTAGACTGACGAGTGAAGAAAGGCAGGAACATAAGCAGCCCTGGAAGTGGTTAATAACAAGAACCATGGACAGGGCTATCAGTTTAAGGGAAACCTCCCCAGAAGCCTCCATGTGATTGGGAGAGTTTACTAATGGGATTGAGTAATTTTGTCATGTCTTTCACCCATTGGATTTTCTCTGGTATTTATTCTTTAATCATTTTAGAAGCAGAAAACTGCAGCTGCATTTATGCTTACGATTCATAATAATAAGCCCATTAAGTGTCAGATTTAGCAATTCAGAAATGCTGATAAAGGAAAAAGGGCAAAATGAGTGTGAAGCTGGGAAATAAAGCAGTTCTAACTCCTGATGGCCACTTCACTTTAATGCACAAGACTAAATAGAATAGGCATTTAGCATTTGTGAATTAATACTATGTTGAGGTCTTCGAGCAGTTGCATAAGCTGAAACTTCAAATGTTAGGTAGTCTTGGCTAGTAGGAATATCAACTGGGACATTGTTAAGGGTGGAAAAGGAAAGGAAGCTATTTATAGCTTGGTTAAAAAGGAAATTTAATAAGAGATTGGACATTTTATCAAGCAATGGCATTATTAATGATCACAGTCAAATTTTACTTCTATAACCATTCTCCACCACCTCGTCCCACCCCTAGAAAGGGCAAAAATCCTTTGGCAAGGTATTTTTTAACATTTCTATTCCCAGGTTAGTAACTACCTAAAAAAAGGACTGGAACTCAGGATTTTATCTGTGTACAGTGAATGTTCCCATTTTCTTTTTTTTTCTTTTTTTTTATTATCATAATCTTGTTTATATTACATTGGATTGCATATAACTTTACAGTGTATTACATTGCTTTTTCAAAAGGGAATGCCATGCATGTCAGTCAATACAGAGACATTAATCTCCCTACTTCATCATTCAATATCTTTTCAATGTTTTTCCCAATCATCATTATTATTATTCTAATTATTATTATTATTTTTTGGAGGGGTTTTTTTTTTTTTTTTTTCCGCTATAGGGCATGTGCGCTCACCAGACAGACAGAGAGAGACATAGAGACAGAAAGCGAGAAATCACCCCCCAGGGGGGATGGTCACGCCGCAATCCCTTCTCCTCCATTCTCCTCTCGGGATCTTGGGCATGCACACACATGCGCCCTGCGTGAGTTTTAAGCACCAGGTCCGGGACTCAAAGGGCAGTCGACTATGTGGGAGTCCAGTGACATAGCCATTATGCTAACTGCTGGTTCCCTCTAATTATTATTTTTTAAACAGTCAATCTCTATTTCTCATTTTGCTTGTAAGAAGACTTTAGCCATCAGGAAATACTTCTCAGACCAATCCAGTTGAGAATACTATACATGTCATCATCAACAGGTAATAAGCCATATCTGTGTCCCACTAACGTCTTTCCTTTCTATTTGTTCTCTTGCTATCTTTCTCTATCCTCTTCTCTTCACCCCCCCCATTCCACACTGTCTTATTCTCGTTAAGTACTTTCACTGCTTTTATGTCGTCCAATATTTCGCTCTCTACCATAGAGTGTGGAGAGTCGGTATATATTAAGTGTATACATACAATATCTTTCTTTGTTTCCATTTTTGAGGCTCACAGACTAACACCACGTGGCCCACCTGTCCCTGTTCTGTTGATGTATTATGGAAAATGCAGCCTCATATCAAAAAATCAAAATGTGTTTAAATTCCAAGGAAATAAAACTTAAATGGTAATGTTCAAAGTGACTTCTCTTCAGAACAAAACTAAAACAAAGTCAAAAACAAATATTTCCAACTCTCCCAAACTGCACAGGCTAATCGTTTGGAAAAGCAAGATTTTTCTTTTTTGACCAAGTCTTGATCCACAGGGCTGATTAGACCAACTTCAAAGATCAGGCAAAAAGAAGGAGGAAAAAAAAAAAGGCTCCCAGGAGGCAAATGTCAGTGAAGCCTGAGGCTGTAAAGAGATATGGATCTGGGAGACCCATTCAGTCAAAAGCAGCTTTGAAAACCTCAGAGGGTTTACACTTCAAAGATGTCATGACATTTGAAAGGTTTTAGGTTGGGAGCAAGTGGCATTCTCACTTTTAACAGAACAGGAGAGGACTCCTGGAAAAGAGAAATCAAAACAATTCCTTCAGTCTCCTAGGCTTTGATTGCTCAGAGTGGCTAGAAGGATGAAGTCAACCATAACACAAAAAGTCTTTTGCTGTGGGGGGTGGACATAGTAGGATTTGGAACCCCAGATTTCTGGGCCGTCTCTGGCTGGAGGTTCTCAACATCTGAGTTAATCTTCCCTTGCATTTGTAAACATCACTCCCTTAGGGACCATCTTAGACCTACTGTACCATCTACAAGGGGACTTCAAAATGTTCATGAAAAAGTGGGATTAAAGTATAACTTTATATTGATGCAAGAACTTTTGAAATCCAGGTACCATTTTTCATAATATTCATTTTCTGTGAACTTTTGGGAGATCCCTTATATAAAAATACCACATATCTCTCTGTCCCAAATCCTTCTCTTTCTTCTTAACTTGATTTCTTTCTCTTCATGGGACTGATCATTACTTGCCATATTATATTTTTGTTTATTATCTGTCCTCCTCTGAGAATAGAAGCTCTACGGAGAAGAAGGTACTCTTTCTGTTTTGTTTGTCTTAAAAATTTTGGTTTTTTTTTTTTTTTTTTTTTGGTCCTCTTTGCTCTTGCCCCATTCGGTTCACAGTAAGCTCTCCAGAAATGCTTTTTATGTAAATGAGCTGCAATAACTCTTATAGCAAAAAAATTAATAAATAAATAAAACCACATCATTGGTAATCACACTTCTCTACAAAGTGTCTGATGAAACAACAAATGTATATAAGGAATCAGGAAAAGGTAGTGAGGCTGGGAGAGTCTAAATTGCCTCCTACATTTTCTTTGGGAAGCCCAAAAAGATCTTACAATGCAGAGGTATGGGTCAAGGAAAGTAGGAGCCAGTCAAAGTGACCACAGAGAAATTCTCTACATGGTACAATGGCTTTAACAGAATGTTCTAAACCCACAAAAGGAATCTTGGGGAGTTGTCACACTTCCCCTTGTCACATTTCTCATCATGAACTATTGGTTTGTCAGAAAAGTCCTGACACATTTGTGTGTGTGCATAGAAAAACATAGGAAAATACGTCATGACTTTTCCAACAACCCAGTAAGTATAAATATTTAAATCTGACCAAACATGGTTACTCTTTCATTCACTGAGAGTCTTAATAAGTGCAAAAGTAAATTTTTAGAAATTTGGACTCTAACATGGCTGGAGCTGATCCTAAGAGGATTGTACTTTTCCTCATTCAGAGCAGCCAAGATGAACAAGAGTTCCATGTTTCACTTGAGCTCACCAGTTTCTTTCATTCTCACATTAACTTCTCTCATTATCATCTCTCATAATCATTTTCTCATTAACTTCTCACATAATTTCCACAATTCCACATTCTCCTTTCCTTTGTTTATGTGGGAAGCAGAGAAAAGTGAAACAGAGCCAGCAAGATTCTGGTTGAGAGGCGATCACTGAGTGAGTGACCTCAGAGAAGCACATAGCTTTGCTGGGCATCAGTGTCTTGAGCTGTAAAATTCTGTTGAGTCAGATGACCTTGGAGGCCCTGGATGGCCCTGCTTCCTATGTAGTTTATAGCAAGATCCTCCTTGTCCTACCCACCTTGATGCCCATCCAAGCTTACCTGATTCAACATACTCTTTGACAAGCACAGCGCAGTAAGGATTGACAGCTTCTCCCTGACAAGCCTGGCAGGACCCACAGTCAAAATTGGACAAACCAATGCGAAGAAATGGTGACATGGTTGCTCCCTAGAAAACAACGAAAGACAAATGCTGTTTGGGGCTATAAGATATATTATTTTCAGTATCCCATCTCCATGTAACTTTATCACTGACAGCCAGAGACTCACATAGGTCAACTATCCATCCAAGCAAATGCTTTTACTTCCCTTTCTGCAAAGTACAATGCTGGACTCACCCAAAACCACAGACTGTCTTGCAGAGGGAAGATGCCTTTTGTATTCAACCTCTCTAGGGAGCACTTAGTTAATTCCCCTCTATCTAATGGAGTTACGTTTAATAGCTGCACAGTGAGACAAGAGTTTTCCAACATTTTATTTCTTCTGTTATTCAAGTGGATGCTCAGGAACCAACACATAGTAATCAGAAAATGAATTTTTAAAGAGCGAGTCTATTTTAGTCATGCCAGTTAAATACGACACCACAAAATTCTTACATGGTCTATTTATGTGTGTAATGGAATTGGCCCTAGGCAGTTAGCAGCTGATCCTTATTTACTTTCAGCATTTTCAGAAAGGTCTGCTTGTTTCAGCCATGCACACACATACAATAAGACTTTGAAAATTATGATCTACTTAAAGAACTCCTAAATCATAGAACACTCTCAAATTATTATCAAAGGATAAAGAAAGTACTTCAAAAATACCAAAAATTTTAGCTATTATGTTTTCCTAAAGTTTCTGGTAAAAATTATCATAGTTTTGACAAGAAATTCCAAGATTCCAATCTGATTCTTCATCTTCCATTCCTCATCTTTGTTCTGGCCACTTACCTCAACTAAACATCTTTCTTTTCACCTCCTTTTTTTTTTTTTTTTTTCGTTCTTAACAGATAAGGTAGAACTGAGTTCAGTGGTCTCACCAAAACTTACCCACCCAGACAAAGGCTCTTCTTCATACCGCCTCAAATGAAGCCACTCTTTGCTCACAATTTCCAGTAGGGGGAACTAAAGACTCACCATCCAGCGCTCAGCTCGGCTCAGGGACCTGCGCCGAGTTCCTATAAAGCCGCCTTCTAATCACCCACAGGCGCATCCAACATCTACCAGCGAGTGTGTGATCACACGTGGGCCCGGCCACGCCGGCCACACCAGGGGCACCGCAGACGCTGGTGTCCCTTTGATCTAACGCGGCCTTCCTTAATCATCGCGGGTCCTGAATGGCATTCACCTGCAAGTGTACCCTTGGTTTTCAAGACCGTGTCGTCACAGTCCTGCTCTCAGAGCTTCCGTGAGCTCTTTTGGGGTTTCAGCTTTCCCGGATCAAAGCCTGTGTTTTCCGAATTTCCTTTCAGAGGTGCTAGTCTCTGGAGGGTACAGGCTTCGGGTACCCCTCTCCCCCCGCCTTCTAGCTTTTTGATCCCCTTTCTCAGCCTAAGCATCGCCGGCTGAACTCCCTTGCATCCCACGATCCTGCGTCAGACTCCTCTTTGAAGGGTCATAAGGCAACTGAGCAACACGAGAGGGGACGCCACCCCTTCCCTTCCCCCTGCCCCCAGGGATTCCGCAAGGGGGCCATAGATCTTGGCCGAAACGAGCTGGTGGCGGTTAGATTTCTGCCCCCCGCCCACCACCCCCTTTTTTTTTTTTTTTTTTTTTTTGCTATAGAGCACATGTGCTCACTAGAGAGAGGGAAGGTACCCCCAAAAGGGATGGCCATGCCACAATCCTTTCTCTTTCATTCTCCTCTCAGATTTTTGGGCAGGCACGCCCACACATCCAGTGTATTTCTTTTCTTTTCTTTCTTTTTCTTGGAGAGGTTTTTGCTACAGGGCGCGTGCACTCATCAGAGAGACAGAGAGAAATCACCCCTCAGGGGGGATGGCCATGCCACAAATCCCTTCTCCTCCATTTTCCTCGGGATCTTGGGCACACATGCACATGCGCCTGGTATGAGTTTAAGCCACCAGGTCCGGGACTCGAACTGCGATCGACTACATGGGAGTTCAGCCACATAGCCACTATGCTAACTGCTGGTCCCCAGTGTGTTTCTTAAGTCACCAGGCCTGGGACTTGAGCTACACAGTTAGACATGTGGGATCCAGTCACCCCAACCACCATGGCATTGGCTGCCCCACCTACTTTTCCATGAGGTTCTATTATTTTGAAACTATCATCTGGCATTCAGAGGAAGTTATTCCCTTGCTTCTTCTGTTTACTTGAACCATTTTCTCTGCACCTATTTCCCAAACGTTCTTAAGTAAGCCATAGATAACATGAACAGAGCATTGATGTCTTGTTTTGACTTTGAATGAATGATAAAACTATTTAAAATAATAGTAACCCAAAAACATAAGCAACTGGATAGCTTCTGGATCTATATTGCATGGCCAGCCTCATTTTCTGAGCCTAGGATTCTTGAGCAGGAGCTGGGTAAGCAGTTGAAAGTTTTCTGGAGAGAACTTTTTTGAGATCCCCTTTTTCTAGGCCATCTAGGTCTTCCAGACAAATCTTCTCTATTAATCAGGAAAAATCACTGAAAATTATCCTCACTTATAGGAGTGTTTACTGTGTGCAGACTTTTTGAAGCTATCCTTAACATAAGCAAAGATAAGTAAGTAATTCTGGTTTGAATCTGGAGGGATCGTTGATCCATAAGCTCGTGTTACAACCCCCATGACCTTTTGTGACTTGTCCCTCTCTCATTTCCTAATCAGGCAAGAGTAGCTTCACATGCATCTGGGAAATTCTGCCTTGGGTATAGATAGAACCTCTAGGGTTACCAAGGTTTTCATTACATTATGGGAGAGAGTTGCAGCAACACCCACTCTCTTCTCAAAGGTCTTGCTTAGACAACAATGATTTCTTATTTAATAAACAATGCAAATTTACTTGCCATTTCACTAAATTGATGTGCACCATTCTGTTACTGGAAGCATTTTGCTATTTACCCAGTGCATGTTATCTATTTGACAGCCAAGTCAGTATCCCTCTTCCTAAAGGTCTGGTTGCAGTGACATGACTTGGCATGTGTTTTGATGTCTAGAAGACAGAATTGGCATTTGTGTAGTTAATGACACATATCATTCAGAAGTGCCTTAAGCTCAGGGATGTATTTTAAAGGCAGAATATAGCATTTACTCCTGAGTTTTTTTAAATTCCTATAATAGGAATAGATTGATCATTATGAATAATGAAGAGAACACAGACTTAGTAAAATGTTTCCTCTAGTTGCACTAATAAAAGAAAATTATTAGTTTGATTTTTAGCCTTTTTTAATGAACAAGTTTTGCATGTTTCTGTTATATGTCGTGTTCATACTGTGGGTACAGTATTACATTTCACTACTTAATTTCACATTTTTCCTAAAATTTTTCTAAGCTACTGTGTCATCTTTATAAATATCCTTTAATTCTTGAATGGTGCTCTATTGAGTATCATGGCTCCATGAACTTTTTTAACTGTTGAACTAAAGTGTATAGTTACACATCTAGACTGTCTCTAATTTTTCCTTATTATAAATAATGCTGTTGGGACCAGCAGTTAGTGTAATGGCTATGTTGCTGGACTCCCATGTAGTTGACCGTGATTCGCGTCCTGGACCGGGTGGCTAAAACTCACGCCGGGTGCATGTGCGTGCGTGCCTAAGATCCTGAGAGGAGAATGGAGGAGAAGGGATTGTGGCGTGGCCATCCACCCTGGGGGGTGATTTCTCACTTTCTATCTCTCTGTCTCTGTGTTTCTGGCAAGCACACGCACCCTATAGCAAAAAACTCTTAAAAAAAATGCCGTGATAGCATCTTTTTTTAATGAAAAAAATTAGGATTACGTGTGAGACTAGATCACTAGGGTACTATAAATTACTATTTGCAAGGTCTTAAATATTAAACACACACACACACACACACACACACACACACACACACACACCTAAAGGTAAAATCTAATAAGGGAGGGCTGGCCAGGTGGAGTGGTAGTTAAGGCAGCTGGATCCCACATGGCCAACTGTGTGGTTGGAATCCTAGACTTGGCAGCTTGAAAGGCATTCCAGGTGCATATGCATGTGTATCTGAAATCTTGAGAGGAGAATGGAGGAGAAAGGATTGTGGCATGACCATCCCCCATGAGAGGTGCTTCTCTCTCTGTCTCTCTTTGATGAGTGCATGCACCTTACAGCAAATAAAATAACAAGAAACAAAAAGGAAATATTGTTGGTGAGTGCCACAGATGATATGTAAATGTCATCCTTACCTAAAAGCATATACAAACTTGTTTGTAAGAGAATATACTGCAAGTCAGTCTAAACTACCAGATTATAAATCAACACTCAGATGTGGATTCCAGAGCTCTGGAATAAGAAAAGTACTGGAGTATTGCGGGTATGGGGAGTGAAGGTTTCAGGTTCAAGCTAAGACCTTGTGAATATAATCATGCTGATTATCTGGTGGTGTGACATTAACTCAGAACCCTGCATTTTCAGATTTCCTTTGATTCTAATCGAGGCCTTATCTGGATGTTCTTCAGTTTTGTGTGCTTGGAGGCTAGGTGGAGAAAGTATAATATCACATTGCTTCTTTCAAAGTCTTCCCCTCCTTTAATTCTTATCATTCCAGAGTTCTTTTCTCTATTAGCCAAGCTTTATTCCAGAGTTCTTTTTTCTATTAGCCAAGCTTTTGCTTGTTCCTTCTTTCTCCTTACTTGACAATTATTTACTTCTTACTTGCTGCTTTCCTTATGTTTGGGACAGACAGAGAGATAAAAGGGAGGAAATGTGTAGTTCTCCACTGAAAATTAACTCTCCCCTTGTCCCATATTGATAAACAAGGTTTGCATGAACAACTAAAAAATGCAGATGCAATTTTCAACTATCCCGAAACCAGCAGGACACACCTGACTTCAAAAGTTTTCCTTAGCTGAACCAGATGTTCTCCTTCAGTTTAACTTAGAAAAGTTTATCTGATGCATTTCATGTTGATTTCCTCTTTAGTGGTTCATTTTGTCTTAATCTGTCCATCTGTCTACTAATACAATGTGAAATAAAATATACCTGTATCGCTATTTAAAACATAAC